AAAATTTACATGATACCATAAAGCTTTCTACTAAAACTAAAAATTATGGATTTCTTTCTCGGCCTCTTAACCCCTTCACCTACAATGTCATATCAGACTCGTGACGAAAATTTCAAACTGAATTTGAGAAATCTAAGTGTCATTTAGATTTTTTAAATATAAATGAAATATTACTTTTCTATTACTAATCATCAACCTTTGAAGCAAATGTCAACATAGAATAAACATAAAAATTGTGTCTTTCCCTAATAAATTACTAACGATAAAGTAGTTGCATCAGTCATAACAAAAAATAAATCATAGGGCAAGGGGTTAATATGTCTTCTGCATCAGATAAACATCATCATTTTATTATTTTATTAAAAATTCAAATAACAGAATGCGAGTAAACGCAAAGTGCACTTCACTTATATTACGTTCAACGTGTAAAAAAAAATTACACTACCGCGAGCTGGAAATCTTACGCTCGAAAAGTCATGAGTTCAAATTGCTGGGAAAATGGTGAAGAAGGAACTTTTCAAGCATTTTTAAAGAAAATAAAAACTTCGTGTAACCATGTTTAAATAATGAAATCATTTAACAATAAAATGGAGCAGTTGATCAAGTAAATAATAGCTTCAAATGTTCGTAAAGTAAGATACAAATCTATACTTTCTGTTTACGTCTTAATTAATTTTGCAGTTTTACGAAGTATTATTTCGTTTCCGTTTTAACGAACGAGGAATGATTCTGCTTCCTGCTTCAACACCTGTCTGCCATGATCGAGTAGCTATTGTTCGTTGGCTGTCCACGAAATATCGCCTTTGTAATTCTTTCTCGTTTCGTCTGCAGCGTACAGCGGCGCGCGGCGGATTCCTAAGAGGAGCGCCGAAGTTTCGCGCGTCAAATGAAGTTGCTACAAGATAGATCCAAGTGCTCTCCTCGCGAGTCTCAATGAACTCTAACGTTTCATGTTCTTTGTCTCTACTCGCCTTGCAGGTGTCTAAAGTTTGTGGAATTCAGGGAACTAGTTGCGAAGGAATCACGAGTGTTCTCCTTTGACACTTTTTAAAATCACTTTCCGAGTAGCATGAAACAGCGATATTAAGAAACTGGGATTTTTTAATGATCATATCTGGATATTTTTATTAACCAGTGCCAGAGATTTTTTCTATACATATGCGAAAAGTTCTAAAATAGTGCGGGAAATACTTTGTATCAAAGTTAATTTTGAAGTATTTCTTTAGAAATTTGTACATGGTATTTATGGCATATTAGGTTACATTTAATTAACATAAAATAGAAAATAGTGTTTCAAACCCTATAGCAATGGATAATCGGTCATTCTGAAAAAACATTTATAAATAAAATTAAAACAGACTTTATGCAATAAAACCAATTATTGTATTTATATTTAATTAATTGTTTTTACAATATATATAACACATAACTTAGATTTAGCAAAATAAAAAAAATTAGAGATCATTTTTAGGAACATTTGTGTTTACTCACACACAATCTGTGTAGTCCTTTCTTGCGGTTTGAGCATATAAGGTTAGATCTTTTTACCGGTTTTGCTAGATTGCACTTCTTCTGCACCATGTAATGCACCGTTGTTTCTAGTAAACTTTGCCTTGGACGATATAACTGTGCTAGTTCATGGAATTATTTAAGTGTCACAAAACAACGTTGTTTTTCTACTTTATTGTAACTGATGGCGTGATGGCGCGATGGCGCTCCTCAGCACTCAAATGGTTATTTTTATTTGAATTTATCACATGTGTAAGGAAAAAAGATCTGTAGTGTAGGAAACAAAAATTTATATTCCACTCTTTTTCCTAATATGTACATGAAAGGATGTATTTAAATGAAAAATCGAATAAAACTGTGGTCGTTTCTAATATAGGTAGCGTTAGAAAATAATGTGAACATATATTCTGTACTATATATAAACATATTTATTTTTATATCTTTATATAATGACGACTGAATAATGAGTGAACAAAACAAACTATTTCTGATGAAGTACATATCATATTGATCGTGTTGCTATGTTTTTTATATAACATTTTGAGTGATTTTTAAACCTAGAAAACACTATTCTTACGTACATTTGAGAAAAATCAACGAAGATAATTTAATATGGGTTTCGATAAACGAATATATTATTAATAACTGTTTTCGTTACATGAAATTTACGAATATATGTGTGAGCTGTTTTATAAATTAGTGGTTTAATCGAAAAGTATATGATTATACAGGGTATCCCATTATCATACATAAATGCAATTATTTCTGCAACTATTTATTTAAAAAAGTACCTCAAATGTACTTAAAGTGTAGTTTATCTATGTAAATAGTTTAACGGTTTTTTGTGAAGAATGAACTGCTGGATCGATTGATGCAAACAACTTACATGATTATATGATAAAACGAAGTGTGTTTTAAATAAACTTAACTTAAATAACTCATTCTTACAACTGAATGAAATATTTTAAACAGATTAAATTTCATTTTTAACCAGTTCAGAAGAAATGAAAAGATTGATACAATTTTTTTGTTTATATCAATCTTTATTACAAACCTTATAATTATCTTATAATTACAAACAAAAACTAAATGCTTTGAACTTTGATGCGCGTTTTGAATATTTCTAATATTATACTTGGAAAAATTGTAGTGATCTTCATACTTCTTACACAAGCCCACTTAGAAACAAACTAACAAGAAAAGTTATCGAACCCAGAAATTCAAAAAATTATGAAACTTTGTTTGTAAGTAGAGTAGGTCAAGGATAATATATTGCAATTTTTATTCGTACCGAATTTCACTTTGAAGGGTTGAAAACACCCTCTGAAAAAATGCAAATTTTTCTCTTCCGTGAATTATCTTGAAAACGATAAAATATAATGAAAAAAGATTTCAACAAAAAATACGTTGTTCTTTCACGTCTATAAAATTGCAAAATAAAATTTTTCAAAATTTTGAACTTGAACTTTGAATATTAATATTAATTTATTTATTTTATATAATATTTTCAAAATTTTAAACCTGAGTTTTGAATATTTTATTTTGTAATTTTGTAGGCGCGAAAGAACAACGTTTTTTTCGTTGAAACCTTTTTTCGCTATCTTTTAACGTTTTCAAGATAATTCATGGGAAAGAGAAATTTGCATTTTTACAACGGTGGTTTCTCCCTTTTCATGTAAAATTCAGTACGAACAACAATTGCAATGTATTCAGCTTGAGTTACTCTATTTACACACAAAGTTTCATAATTTTTTTAATTTCCGGGTTCGCGATACTTTTCTTGGTACGTGTGCCAAATTGCTGTCCTTTCAAAACAGAAAAAATTGCATTTAAGACATTTTTTAAATAATGAATAGTTTCGGAAACAATTGATACACTTATAAATTAAAATGGGACACCTTGTATAGGTAGAAATAAATTGAAAATATACAATAAAAATGTTTCAGTTTGAAGCCCTGGTTTAAAAAAGTTCGAGTTTAAATATGTTTCGTCAATAGGTATACAAATACAAGTGTGCTTGACAAATTTTTAAGTTTAAAATTTGAGAACGTGCTGTTACATAAAAAAGATTATTTTACATTTTTGACTGATTTTATCATGCGGAATAGCCTCCTGCCTATTACAACACTTGTATTCACTTTGAAGCATTCAAGTGCATGCGTACTCCACGAATTTTCAATCCAGATTTTATCGAAAACATATAAAATTTTATTTTATTTGTTCAACGTGTCTTTTACATGGAATCACACCTTGTCAGTTGCATCGCCAGTTAAAAGTCACGCTGTAACAACATTTAATTGAACAAATTTTGTTAGGAAAATACGTCTACACAAGTTTACGTAATTTAAGAAATGTTTAAGGGAAGAATCCGCTACGATCAGAACATTCAACTTTTCCATCTTTAACATTCTGCTTCATCTGCATAATTTAATTGACTTTCACAGTGTAATGAAAGAGAGTAATCGTATTTTAATACAGTTAAATGAATTTATTTTACTCATTTGTGCAATCGCATTTTAATCACTAGATTTCCACAGGTACCGAGCAAATATGGCGACGACGATCTGCATACGTGAAATTCTAATATGGGAAATTATGCGCTGTCGTTGTTGACAATGGTTACATAGAGGGCCATAAATCGTGCGTAGAATTCGTGTCTGAAAGAGACCATTTACGAATGTTTTAACCACGCGTGCATCGAAATTATTGTAATGAAGGCATTGGCCGATCCCTGTAGACGAACTAATTAAATTCACGATTATGTAAAACAAATAATTATTGATCCATCGTAATGTTGAAACATCTGTGGACAAATGCACTGGCAGTGTAGAATAAGCATTCTAGAACAGGTTCACAGTCATATTATGTGTTTACGTTGGGTTAAAATTCGAGAGGAAAAATCACCAAAGATCTGGACAGCTTTGCCAAAGCCTAAATCGATATTATTTTAAATTATAGCAGGTCGTTTAAATATTTTCCTACGGGCTCTGTTAATTACACCATTCTTTTGCAAAACAAGGATATATAAACAATTGTTTCAATGTTTTAATATTAAAAGTAGAAAAAGATTCAAAGGTGGGGTTAGTTAATTTGTTTTTTAAACAATCCAACTGTAAATTAAAGGAAAAATGGTAGTAAAATATTTAATAATTCCTATATAATGTAAATGTATCAATAACTGACCAGTCAAGAATGTAAGGACAGCATATTATTATAAATATAAATACAAATATAAATATAAACATAAACATAAACATAAACACAAATACAAATACAAATATAAATATAAATATAAATGTAAATGTAAATATAAATATAAATATAAATATAAATATAAATATTAAAATAAATATTTATATTAGATTTTAAATAATAAATATTAGATATTATATATTAAGATGAAATACTTATATTTACATTATCTTAACTGCTTAGTTATTAATTATTATTACATTTACCTTAGTAGGATAAATGAAGGTCTTTGCAATTACCTTTGAAGCAGATTTTATTTCTCTTGAAAACTAGAACGGTATCGTTGTGTTTAGTCCCAGGTGGAGCAGTGACATTCAACCTTAAGGTTAAAGGAATTTCGGCACTCACGCGGCCTGAACAAGCTAATCGGATCCTGAAAACCTGCAATGTGACGGGCACCTCTCCTCTCTCCGACACGTTTACGTTGGGCGGAAGCAGAGCCATCATTCCGGAAATGCCACCCGGGACACCTACTACGTCATAATCCAGCTCCATTGAGTACGCTAGCTGCAAACAAACGACAAAGGTGAAATCAATTTTCACAAGTTTATCAAATTATTTCTAGAGATTCTATCAATTTACATCATTTATAATTTCAACCATTTCATTTACAATTAAACTAAGTTTTATTTGTTCATTTATTTATTTATTTAAAGTCATATACTATATTTAAAGTCATCCATCACTTTTTTATTAGTTATTAATGTTAAATAAATTAAATATGTTAAATAAATAGAATTAACTAATTTATTTATATTAAATACGTTCATTTCATTTATCGGAATATGAGAAAAGATATATATATATATATAATTTAATATATTAATATATATTAAAGTACATATATGAACATATATGAAGTACATTTATTTATTTAACGATTTATTACATTAATTCTAACTATTATTATTTAATGTCATTTCATAATATTTACTTTTATTGAAACAAAAGTTGTATATAGAGAAATGTAATGATTGCAGGATAATAAAGTAATTGTAATTATTGAAATCTTAGCGAATCGCAATTTTTAAACTCATATGAATGAAAAAATATATAGTATAATTTTTAATTTCTTTCACGAAATAATGATAACAAATATTGTAATTCCGAGATGCACAAGAAAATACAAACTGTGGGTCGCATCATTTTTGCATTCAACCATTTCTATCATAGAAAAATTTATACAGCGTTCATAGTTATTAAAAAATAATATTAATGTGTTAAAGAATAATACACTTATAATACAGAAAAATCTTAAGTTTATAATATATTACAATAAAAATATAGTTAAATGTTTTTCTTGAAAAGCTTGTAGTAGTAAGAAACGTAGCAACAGTAATAATAATAATATAATAATAATAATAATAATAATAATAATAATAATAATAAAAAATAATAATGATAATAATGGAATGAAATACGTCACAATGTGAAATCACATGATAATCAGATGCTTTCACGCCCTATTTACACTTTAAAATACTGCATTTTCTTCGAAAAATCTTCGTTCGTAAAAATAGAATAACTTCGATCTTCAATTACTATATAATGTTCCCCTTCTCCGTCCGAATTTCATATATGTAAATTAGAGACGTATGAATTTCGTGTATCCAATTTTCATGTTAATAAAGCCCTGCACACAATTATTGACATTATGTACTATCAGACTATATGCGCATACAAGATCTATGAATGCCCACAAACTGTCTACGTAGTTCTATATTCTATACGAAGATAGTTTGCAGACTAGTACGGCCATCTTTTTGTCTCCCATTGGAATTGAAAACAAGAGACAATGTCTGTGGACGAAGTCTCATTAGTTGAGTCGCTGAGGTGTGCAGTATAGTCTCCCTATCATTTGTCGGATACGAAAGTTTCGTCATATTATATTGTTACATGTTATTGCTTCACAATGGAAAAGAGGACTTACTATAAAACTTTTATTTCTAATTAACTTTACAATCTTGAAATAGTATTTTTAATTGTTCTGTACAGTATAGAGGTCGTAACATATTTTTAATATTCAAATATATTCTGGAAATTAAATATTCTACAATACTTTTTATGTACAATACATATCTAATTTCTAAATAGATACAAATACAAAAGCCTAATATACAATACATCTAAAATTGTGACAAAAAAAGGAATTTCTGCTGAAATTTCTGTTATACAAAGCAGAACAATTTATATTTATAAATATAAATTTATAAATATAAGGGATTCACTACAAGGAGGAAGATTTTAGTATATACTTATATTGTAAAACTAAAATAAACGTTGAACCATAGCCTTTTGAGACTTTTCACTGTCTTAAAATCTTTTTTGATATTTACTAGATATTTCATATAGAATATTCATAGATCAAGTTAATATTGATCATCTGCAGAGAAAATATTCTTTTGAAAATAGTTAAAACAAAAGGAGATAGAGAACAGAAACGAAGATTCTAGGGTTTGCGAAAGTAAGACGTGACATAAGAAGTATCCTAACAATAAGTTTCTCTTGTTCGCATTAAGCACGGCATTTACGGTGAAACGAACGATAACGGACATGCAATAAAAATACTTTGAAAACCATAAGCCTCCAGGCTTAGTGTCACGGAAACTTAAATGTCGTCCCCTTCCAGCAAGATATGATTCTAGATATGCGACATTTTACACTGAATCCTTGAAGACTTTTTTATAGAATCGGTATCTTTAGGTATGCAGTGTTTCATTTCTGTATACTTTTAACATTTTCTGATGTTATCTGAACGATTTGAAAAGTAAAGATTCGTTAAAAATATAGAAAATACGAATTTTATGTATTACATAGAATTTTCAAACGTGAAAAACACAATGAAATACATAATTTTACTAAAATATTAAGTAACCTCTGTATTATTAAGAAGCTAAATTTTGTTTAAATCCATTTTCCCTAATTATTGGGTCATCCCATAAGTAATGCGGTTTTTATATTTCTTTTATTTTTTAAAATAAAGATAAACAGCTGTTTTTAATCGAAAACATATTCCCCTTCATTATCTATGAATTGTCTACCTATACATCAGAATTAATTTAAAAAAGGTTTTGAATATCTTTATTTTTAACAATAAAAGGAATATAAAAAACCGCAGTATTTATGGAATGACTCAATGCTACGTTTCTAGAGAAACTATTTTTCTGTTACAGTATTTTTATAAAGCACGTTTTATGCAAATTAAATTTTTGCATAATATGAAATTTGGAATACTATAGCAGCAGTGTTACACTTACGTTTCTGAAGTATGAACAATTTGTTATATTATACGATGTGTATATCAAGAAGAATGTTAAAAATGATTCAAGATGAATTTAAGTATAATGTTTATAGCTTTCATAATTTATAAATGATATGGTCACATAATTTTCATATGATATTTGAATAATGGAAATTACTTTTAAGATAATGTAACACTGTCTACTTAGAATAGAAGTTGTGCTGAAATTAATATTCTTGCAATTTCTCTTTTTACACAATTGTTAATCAATTATAAATTACTGTTTTAAATTTCTAGTAACTTACTGTTTTAATTTAATTTTAATTATTGTTTAATAAGTTAATTTAGTAACTATAGAACAGAAAAATTTCATATTCATATAGTTGCCATAAATAATATTTTATCAGCTTTCACTTAACAATAGCTATCTCCGTAGTACACTGGCATTAGTCAAACCGACGTTCACGTGCGTAACAAAAATATCTTGGAAAGAACTGGTACATTAAAGCGACAAGAAACCCCTCTTAGGATGCATATGATTACACACATGCAATCTTTCACACTATGTAGATTCATCCGTAAGTTATTTCATATTTGCTGCGGGTTTATAATCTAAATAACTTCATTACATTTGAATTATAAATCTTAATATCTACTGTTTAAATATGAACAAATTTACAAGCTTCGTTCTTTTTCGCACAGAATTTTGAATTATACAAAAATAAAATCAGTAACTTTTATGTAAAATTTTAAGTTGTATCATAACATTTGGTTTGCACGATAACTACATGAATACGTAACTTATATAAAAAGAGATAAATTCATTAATAGCTTAATGCAATATAAATCCTGCGACTATTTCGTACTGTAATTTCCACATGTTCTTACAAGAGTAATTATTGAATCACTAGATTGTTTAGTTTTCATTAGTTATATATTACTAGGATATAATCTGACAAAATATTTACACTTTTCGCACATATGTTAAATTTTAATGAGAAAGCTCTTAAAGGATAAAATCATATATTTTAATTGAATTTCGGATAAGTGCTGTTTTTACTGAAAATTTCCCTTTCATATTTTAAGGACAGTATTTATTCTATGAAAACATCAATAATTTGACCGATTTCTAAACAGTTCGACTCTTACTACACAACAGCTCTTATGGAGTCATAGTAAATCCATGTAAACAGAATATATAAAAATAGAAAAATCTAAACACAAAAAGTTCTACATCATTTATATGTTAACAAACACAAAAATTTCACTGATTTCTAGTACCTATCTTCAACACAGTTGTTAAAACAACACACCAATTCACACCAACATCTACATTTCTCGATTACACCAACCCAAGACATTTAACACTAGAACTACCAAGCATTTTACATGATTAATATATAATCCTTATGACAGCAGTAACCAAAAATTTTCTTTGGTTTCTTCATATCATATCATATTTTTCAAATCATTTCAGGTATTTAATACTTTCAAAACATCAATAATTGCGAAATAAGAAAACTGAAACCCATCATATCTGACAGATGCAATAGTTCCAGTATTAACGTTCAAAGTCCAATTATGTTTTTCACACAATCAATCCTTTTTCCACCATAACATATTTCAATAAATATTTTAATAAAAATTTTAATAAGTATTTCAATAAATGCGTACGTATGCTGTGCGTTATCCAAAGATCCCTCTCCCGCGATTCAAACACGAACTCCAACCACATGCTAGGACCGCGTAACGTTTAGTCTCCTTCAAGCATCGCTGATACAAGCAATCCCACTATCTGGAGGTGGTGGATTTCGCAAACAGCGACCCTCTCCCCCTCGTCCGCGGGGTTCTGTGTAACTCGACGGCGAAAGGGAATGGGCGATGGCAACGAGTAGTGTGTTTAAGCACGCCACAAGTTTTACGAGGTGGCATAAATAATGTGGTTAGTGCTTCGTGATGCAATGTCAACGGAGGCGATTCCACCCTCTGAGACCCCTCAGGAGAGCCTCCAGTAATCGTCGTAATCGTCGCGTTGGGGGGTTACGATGGCGTGACACCTGCCTATCCCGTTAGTTCGGTTGAAACTTTGCCGATTCTTTTTCCATGTTTTCCTTTTTATTCGCTTTCTTACGTTTTCGTTGCCCCAGAACGTATACATTGAAAGTGACACGCGTAAACAGTCGATTTGCGATAAGATGAACGCAGAAATTTTACTTTTCGCTAATTCCTCTCTGCGGTTGAAAATTATTGTTACAGGGTAGTGCAC